GTTCACCTATCACGCTACCCCCGATCAAGAGTCCCTCCCCATCTCTCCTGTAGCCCCCTTTCAGCACTGGAAGGCTGCTAGAAGGTTGGAGCCTTCTCCAGGCTGAACAACCCCAGCTCTCTCAGCCTGTCCTCGTTACAGGAGGTGCTCCAGCCCTCGGACCATCTTCATGTCCCTCCTCTGGCCCCGCTCCAACAGCTCCGTGTCCTTCTTATGTTGGGAGCCCCAGAGCTGGGTGCAGCACTGCAGGAGTGTCTCATGAGAGTGGAGCAGACGGGGAGAATCCCCTCCCTTGACCTGCTGGTCACGCTTCTTTTGATGCAGCCCAGGGTCTTCCTCCTTTGGAGCTGGGAACAACACAAAAGCCAGTGCTTTGAGCCACCTGAAGGGGCCGAAGCAGCTGCTAAGACACCACAAGGAGCACAGATGCTCCAGGACACCAGACACTAAAGGGCAGACATCCTGTCCTTAAAATACTCTGGCTTCCAGTGAGAATTTAGAGGGGTGCCATGAGATGGTAGGAGAGCAGACGGAAAGGCAGCCTGAGGAGCTCCTTCTCCCCCAGGCAGGGACAGACGCGCTATATTGAGTTCTTCTGGAAGCCTCACCAGCAGCTGCACCAGTACATGCTCTGGGGCTGCCTCTGGCCAGCCTCTCCTCCCCTCTGCTTACCAGAGGCATGGAGCCACTAACTGGTTATTTTTGCCGAAGCCCAAATTCTTGTTTTCTTCCTCAGGACCATTTCGGATAGTAGCTGGCTGCGGGGAAAGGCTGAGCGTAACTTTTCCAGCAACAAGAGCTGAAGTGCCCTGCTTGGCAAGAGCAGCTCAATGCCCATTTATAAACCTCTTTTGTCCCTGTTCTCTCTTCTTTTCAGCCTTAATGTCAATGTTACCTAGAAACAGTCCTTTGCTCTTAGCCCAGACTGACCAACAGGCTGGGAACTTCACGGGTGGCTTTTTCTCCCCTGTGAAACTGTGCTGTGACTGCAAACTAGTTCATGGGGACCAGTTGCCGTGGATGCTGCTGGGAGCCCCCAGCTTCCTCGCTGGAGCAGCTGGGATGGGCCAGGGGGAAGCAGGTCAGCAGTGAGGGCAGAGGAGAAGGTGCCCAAGCCCCCAACTGGGATGTTTTCAGCTGGAGGAGCCTAGAAAATAAAATCTCCCCCATTGCCAGAGGCCATAGTCCATCTGCGAGCTGGTTCCTGGATGCCACCTGGCCTGACAGGGTGTCTCCAGCCATGCCGTCCTCACTGGAACACCCTGATGGGTTTGGGGTGATCTGCTTGTTCATAGAATCATAGAATCACAGAATCACAGAATGGTTTGGGTTGGAAGGGACCTTAAGGATCATTGAGTTATAACCTCTGCCATGGGCAGGGACACCTCCCACTAGCCCAGGTTGCTCAAAGCCTCATCCAGCCTGGCCTTGAAAATGAAACAAGCTGCTGATGAGGATTAGTGATAAATATTCCTAACTGTATATGTGCATCTCCTCCAGCCCTCCTCCAGCCCAAGGTCCTCAAAGCCCCGTCAGCTCTGGGACCCATTTAATGGGGACTGCAGAACAGTTCTGCCGGTGAATGCTTCCCCAGCAGAAGGCAAAATGGCATTTCCCGTAAGGTTTCATTGTCTCTGTGCTCCATCCTGCGCATCCCCTGCCCTCGGTGCACAATATCCCGCCTGTTTTTGGACTCGCCATGTGTTTTCCTCCTCCGGCTCCAGCAGAGCAGCTGGAACTTCTCAAACCGCGATTGCTTCATACTTCTGACCCCTGCAAGGGGACGTGCATCAGCAATATTTCAGGGATCTGGTGGGATGTGGGACAGCTTTTTTGTCCAGCTTTTTGGCTGGCTTAGCCACCTCCATCTACTCGGGGAAAACAAAGGCAACCCAGAGGCGTGCACAGATCTGGGCTGGAGAGAGGAGAAACGCGAGGGGACCAGCCTCCTTGTTGTGTTCGTTGTTTTTCTCATTCCTGTAGTCTCTCTGCCTGTGAAAGGAGGGAGTAGCAGCCCTGGACTCTGCCTTGGGTCCTTCAGGTGCCCTTTGCTCTGTTTCTCCAGCCTCCCAGGAGAGCACATCCACATCCACGCGCATGAAACAGTTAAAAAGCTGAGATGGGATCCACAGTAGCCGATGCAGCTTTGCAGCAGCAAATCTAAAGCAAAAAAATCTTTTTTGCTAAAGCAAATAGTTTCTGAGCAGGGCTGTAGAAGGATTCCCCCCTGAGCCATGCACGGGCAGTTGGAACGGAGCAGGTCATGCAGCGGCTCATGGCAACAACATCGCTCGTGAGCTGCCGTCATTCCCCCCCGCCTCTGCGCATCCCCCCATCTCCATCTGGTCTTGACTTTCCAACAGTGCCCCAGCATCCCGGGGGGACCCAGCGCCCTTCCCCCCACCCCGCCCCGTTCTGCGCTTGCTCTCTCTGTGCTGGGGCTTTGCAGTGCGGCAGGAACGAATTTACCTTCCCCTCCCCCTGCTCCCAGATCTGGACCATCGGATGCGCTTCAGCATTGATTTGCTTTGTTGCTCGGCTTCCTAGAGCCATTTTGTGGTACTGCAGGAGAGGAATTTTTCTTTCTCAGCTCATGTGCTCTGCTCCCTGAATAACCCTGGCTGGGGAAATACTGGGGGCAGGGTTTTAAATGCAATGAAAAAAAAATATTGGATTTCCCTTAATGCATTCCTAATGGTTGTGGCTGTACAAGATAGTTGGAGTGGGCTGCTT